GTGAATAATTTAGAACTAGCCAATAGCGGGGAACGAATTTACATACCGGTGGCGGGAACTCTTTTGCACCGTGCATTCCTCTTGCAACTTGAGCAATGCACTCTGCAAAAGAAGCTGCAGAAAAGGCGGGAAACTCGTCCCTGCACCGGGGTTTTCCTCTGCAACAGGAAACTCTCCCATGCAATGCTCTGCAACTTGGCGGGGATAATTCTGGTGCCGAAGCACACACACAATCATGCCTTTTGGGTCATGACAGCACTCTGCTTAATACTGGCTGCCAACTAGATATTGAGACATTCCTTACTACCCTTTGAGCCCAACAATCCAGCCAGTTTTCTCTCCATTTTATAGTCCATTCATCCAACCTGTACTTCCTTAGCTTGTTCCATGGACTTGTACATGTACAACTTTTCTAATTTGTCCCTAACCTGTTCCTTTGCCACTGTTGTCTGCTCACCTCCTCCCCAAATTGTGCTGCCAGGTACAGTAATCTGGGAGCTTACCTTGCCTGTTAAGACTGGTAAAAAAAAGGCATTGAGTACTTCAGCCTTTTCTGCATCATCTGTCACTATGTTGCCCCCCATTCAGTAAGGGACCCACACTTTCTCTGATCTTTCTCTTGTTGCTAACAAACTTGTAGAAACCCTTCTTGTTACCCTTCAGGTTCTTTGCTAGCTGCAACTCCAGTTCTGTTTTGGCCTTCCTGATTTCATCCCTGCATGCTCAAGCAGTACTCTTATAGTCCTCCCTTGTTGTTTGCCCCACTTTCCACTTCTTATAGGCTTCCTTTTTGTGTGTTAGCTCACTGAGGAGTTCCCTGTTAAGCTAGACTGGTCTTCTGCCATACTTGCTAGTTTTACTGTGCATCAGGATGGTTCATTCCTGCACCCTTAGCAATGTTTCTTTAAAGTACAGCTAACTCTCCTGGACTCCTTTTCCCATCAGATTGGCCTCAGTTCTTTGAATGAAAGTCTGCTTTTCTAAAGTCCAGGGTATTTACTCTGCTGCTCTCTTTCCTTCTTTTCCTCAGGATCTGGAACGCAATCATTTTGTGATTGATTGCTGCTGCCTAAGTTGCTACCCACTTACACATTCCCCACCAATTTGTTCCCATTTGTGAGCAGCAAATCAAGAAGAGCACAGCCCCTAGTTGGTCTTCCCAACAATTGTATCAGGAAGTTATCCCCAACACTCCATAAAAACTTCCTGGATTGCCTGTGCAGTGCTGTATTGCTCTCCCAGCAGATATCAGGGTGATTGAAATCCCCCGTGAAAACCGCAGTCTGTGATCTGGAATCTTGTGTTCCCTGTTTGAAGAGTCTCATCCTCCTGGTCTGGTGGTCTATAGCCCATACTTACTATGACATCAACCCTTGTTGCTCTCCCCTCTGACCCTAACCTGGAGACTTTCAACAGGCCTATCTCCAGTTTCATAGTGGAGCTCTGAGCAATCATGCAGCACTTTCACATAAAGCGCAACTCCTCTTCTCCTCTGCCTGTCCTTCCTGAACAATTTGTACCCATCCATGACAGTGCTTCAGTCATGCAGGCTCCCTCCAAGTCTATATTATTCCAGTCATGTCATAATTCCATGCCTGTGCAAGGACTTCCAATTCTTCCTGCTTGTTTGTTTCCCAGGTTCTCTGCATACATGTGCAGACATCTCAGGTAAATCCTATTCCCTGACACCATTCTGATACTAGTGAGGAAGTCAATTTTTGGCCACCTTGGCTTGTTTGTGTATGGAATGAAAGGAAATGAGCTGTGCTTCAATTGGAAAATGGTAAAAAATGTAAGGAAAATCCAGTGTGTGCAAATATATTGGTCTCTTGTCAAAAGCCTTCTCTCACTGTTAATGAATGAAGAGGAAAGTTGCTAACAGGAAATGATCAGGTAACACATTTCTCATTCTTTACAGGCAGTTAGATTCCGTTCTTGGTGATCTCGCACGTAATTTTGCAGAAGGCACAGAGTACTTCAAAATGCTTGTGGATGTGTTCGCTCCTGAATTCCGCAGTCCAAAGAACATGCACTTGCGCAACTTCTATATTATTGTTCCCCCACTGGTTAGTAGTTCCAGCACCTTTAGTGATGCCTATTTTTTAAAATGTTATTAGATTAAATTGTGATGTAATATTCCGTACTAGAAATGTAATGTAGGTGAAGTAGATTATTTGTTTCCAGATTCTATTAATTTCTTTCTTAGCTATGAACTGAAGAACTAATTGGACCCTGTATCTAGTTTGGTTGTCAAAAAGTGTTCTAATTGACTCTGCTTCTTGATATCAACTTAGGCACCAGTTCCCAACACTGCACAGAGGGGACTTGGTCAACTGAAAAAATAACTTTAAATATCTCTTTATTCATTTAAATTGGAGATATCTTAAAAGGTAAGAAAGAAAAGAGACATCCAAGATAGTCAGAGATGGAGAGATGAGAATCAAAGAGAACTTATATTAGTGTCCCTTTTCTGAAAGTGCCCTTACAGCAGCAGTTTGGAAATATTCAACCTCTTCTAATTCTAATTCAGATTATGTAAAAACTAAGACCCTCCTCTGTTTGGATCTTTTATTTGGAGTTGCTTTGCTATATTCCTGCACCAGCCAGCCTCATTGATTTCAGCAGGGCTCCATGTGAAAGTACTTGGATGCAGTTCAGGATAGAGGCCAGATCATACTCTGTAATCTGGCCAGTGTATTCCTGATAACCATCCAGTATTTTTAATAAGCTTTTAAAATGGAATGTTAATTGAAGGTGACTGAACCACAAATTGAAATTTGTGAAAACAGAGATAGCATTATGGGGGTAGAAATGAGAACCTCAGAAATGGCTAGGAAAAGACTGACATTAAGACAAATGAGTAGAAGGAATTTGTTTCATCCTCTGCACTTTTTTCTGTTTTCTTTTTCTTATTCCAGGAAGTTCCATTAAATATTTCTGTACACTTAAAATATGTTTTCTTTAATAGATTAACACACACCACGAAGTATGGGGTTAGTATTGGAATAGTCTCTGTGTGGCTGAAGAGAATTGGCCTTTGGTCTCACAAATTGCAGCAAGTGCATCAGTTGCCTGCCCCCCCAGTGTGGTTTTACTGCAGTGATATGAAACAGTGGCTTCTCTTAAACACAGTAAAAAAAAGCACATGAGATGACTTAGGACATCCAAGTGAACCCGAATAACTCAGTCATATTTTCTTTACTGAACTTCCTAAAAAATTCTTGACATCTCGATTTTATTTATTTATTTACTTTAAGTGCTAACTTTTACAAAGGTCCCTCTTGTTTGTTTTTGTTTGTTTAAAGCTTCATTAAGCACTCAGGCTCTGCTCAGGGCATTGATATTATTACTTTAAAACGGTATACAAAGTATAGAAAGGGCCTGACATGAGCAGACTTAATGTAAATTGTGTCTTTCATTTTTAATTTGTATTTTACAGACCAAACCCCACTTCCTTAAAAGCTTAGGAAAGGGATGGAATTTCCATGAAAAGTAGAAACTTGGAATATTTTTTTGGGTGTAGTGGTAAAATATAATTGACAAAATTGCATGTAGCCACCCTTTAATTTAGCCCATCTTACTCTGCAGTGATGGCTTGTTTCAGGTGCTCATCTCTCGTTTCAGACTCTCAATTTTGTAGAGCATTCAATCAGCTGCAAGGAGAAACTGAATAAGAAGAACAAAAGTGGAGCAGCTTTCACTGATGATGGGTTTGCCATGGGTGAGTCTGAACACACTGTCTAACCTTCCAGTCAGTTAACACAGTTGAGATTTTATTTTAACTTTGCCCAGTCTTCGCAATCTGAGTTGTCCTTGTTTTAACACATCTCGTCTGTGTAGATTGTTGCTTTTTGGTTTCAACACTGTATACTTAGTTCTTTCTTGGCTGTCCTGCTACTGTGCATACAATGCTTAAGCACAACAGAATGGACTCTTCATAAGCATATTGTTGTTTGTTGCATGTTTCAGTAACTCTTGGGGTATAAACAAACATTGACAAATCAAGCGGATCAGCTGAGGTAGGATGTGTCCTGCCACAGCTAATCTACTTCATTGGGTGAAATACATATTGCCCATTGTCCTGCCTAGGACAGGGGGCCAGTCCTGTGGAATGATGTGTGACGTGGTCCCTGCTTACAGTGCTGCACTTGCTCTGCTTACAGAGCTTCCCCAGGGCGCATCCCTGTAAAAAGGGAAAAGCCAGGTTTTTCCCCTGTTTCCTGCTTGCAGAATTTTACCCTGGGGATCGCCGAAGCATGTCTCTGGAAGTGGGGAAAGCTGGCTGCAGTGCAGTCCTGGGGCTGAGACAGAGGCGGGCAAGTATTTCGGGTGGAGGGCTGCTTACCAAGTTTTGGCAAGCCACCAAGGGCCGCATGGGTAGCCCCGGCCCCTGACAGGTGCCCTGCCCCCTGGTCGCCATCTTGGAACCAAAAGACTCACCCCCTAACCCCTGACCTTTGCCACCAGAAGTCCTTTTCCTTGCCCCCAGAAATACTCCTTTCAGCAAGGGGTTTTGCCATCTCTGAACCAGAAAAATACCAACTTACATTCTAAAAATCAAATGTACCATAACATTAATTTAATTTAAAAAAATATTTTTGTCCTGATTCACGTGTGTTTGTATAGTGTACGTAGCGGTGATAGTATAATAGCTTAAAATGAAGTCTTACTCTTGTATATTGTGGCTGGGAGGGTGGATATAGGGGGGTGGTGTGTGTGGGAGGGGAGATTTTGGGGGGGTAAATAGGTATGTGTTTTGTGGAGAGCTATGAGTGTGTGTGGGGGAGGGTTGTGGCTTGTGGAGGGGGAGTGTTTGCCCACAGCCTGCTCCTCTCCCCCCTGCGGCAAGCAGAGCCCCCGCAGCACTCCTGCAAACCCAGGCTCTGCACTCCTGGCTCCGGGGCACCGGTGCCTGACCCATGCTGCCACTCGCTGCCACTTGTCCCCTGTCTGCCACTGCTGCCCTTCTACTCCTGCTTCCCTGTCCCCACACCTGCACCACATCCCAGCTGCTCCTGCAGTCCTGGCGCTGCAGCTGGGAACCACATGGTGCTGAGTGGGTGGTGGAGTGGGGAGTGGGGAAATGGTGGTGGCAGGAAGGGGGAAGGGACAGCTAGCCAGTGTGCAGAACACAGCGACAGTCAGGTGGGACTGCGGGCCCTGCGCCAGTGCACTGGAACCCGCACCACAGGAACCAGCCTGCCCGGCCATGAGGGCTGGGGTGATCGCCCATGGTTCCCCCCTGCCTCCCTTCCCCCTGCCTTTCTTATCTGCATCTCCCTTGGCACGAGGAGGCAGGAACAGCCCCAAACCAGAAGCCTTCAGAAGCCCCTGTTAGGCAGAGGCTTTCTGGCTGGGGCTCGAGGTGGGAGAGGCGGGGCTGGGCCGGATTTACTGCTCCGGCTGCTTAATCCTGCTGATGCCTCTCCCTGGGTCCCACTGCCCCTGCCTCCTGTGATCTTTGACAGGCAGCCAGAGGCAGATAAATATTACTTCTCTAATAGAATAGATAGAATGGACTGGTGGGCTGGATCTGGCCCATGAGCTGTATTTTGCCCACCCCAGGGCTGAGACCACAAATCAACTGATTGGCAGTCCCAGCCTTGGGTCCACACTGCAGAGCGTTTGATACTCCAGTGCAGTCCTGGGGCTGGGATCAATCAGCTGATTGGCTGTTTCAGTCCTGGGACTGCATCAGAGTTGCCAACAGCTGCCTGGAAATCCAGATGCGTAACCCAGGCAAGCATGATCCTGTGTGCCCCAGGAATGC